TCTACGCATGTAGTCAGTGACACAGTCCACCATGTCTATGTCGTCCCCATGTGGTTCGCACAGCACATCCCAGTCGGTAGCCTCCAAAGCACCACGTAGATCCTCCATAGCTTCTTGAGACCATCTCCTCACAGTCCTCATTGTCGCAGGTTGGCACTAAACAATAGGCTGGTAGGACAAGGTTGTGATCTGATCTGCCAAGGGAAAGGCTGTGGAATTATATGCATCCTTAGCATTGGCATAAAATAAGTCCAGTGTTTTGTGTTCTCTGGTCGGGCATTTAACAAACTGGTGGAAAGTAGGCAAAGTGGTGGAAATAGAGACGTGATTAAAGTCCCCTGAAATAGCCATAAAAGTGTTAGGGTGCTTTGTTTGTAGCCTGGCTGTGACTGTGTATGACATTGCAACCCGATAGAAACAGAGGTCTGAGTAGCAGAAAAAACAAGAAAAAGTATCTCAGGTCCCTAGTATCCATCATGTTGTGATTGCAAATCTAGTTGCCGGAAAGGATATGAAGGAAACACGCAAACTCACTAACACTGAAAGAAACAAAAAGACAACAAAAAGACACAGTGCTGCTGTAACAGGCTGCCACTAATACGGCGCCATCTTGAAACTATGATGTTTAATTATTATTAAACAAGGGCAGCTCTGTCTAAATTTAATATTTTAGTTTAATATAGAACATCTGTCCCATTTTATTTTTTATTGCAGGCAGGCCTGGTGTCTGAGATGAGCTCAGAAAATCTGATTCTTGCCCTGGAGCCTGAAGCAGCCTCAGTGTGGTGTAAACAGCTGCCCAGGGAAGGCTTTGTGGCTGAGGGAGGAGATCAAGAAAAACTGCAAGATACTCCAGGAACACAATACATTGTTGTGGACTGTGGAGGTAAGATTTTGGTTGTGTGGCACAAATAATAATAATAATAATAGCTTATAAACATATAATGTTTTTTTGGACACTCCACTCAAAGCTCTTTACAAGTAATGGGGACTATCTTCCACCACCACTAGTGTATAGCACCACCTTGATGTTGCGATGGCAGCTATAGTGGGCCAGTCCACTGCTCACACACCACACATCGCTGAACACACTCAGTAATACCCATACTCCTTTCAAGAAACAACTGGTGATTTTTTTAATGACCATAGAGATTCACAACAACTGGTGATTTTTTTAATGACCATAGAGATTCACAACCTCAGTTTTACGTTTCATTGAAAGGATGGTGCCTTTTTACAGTAAACCATTAGGACCCACACAGACTGCAGAGTGAGTGCCCCCTGCTGGCCCCTCTATCACCTCTTCCAGGATCAAGTTTAGCTTTCCCAGGAGGTCTCCTATCCAGGTACTGACCAGGCTCACACCCGCTGAGCTTCAGTTGGCTGCCAGTTGTGAACTGCAGGGTTATATGGCTGCTGGCCATAAAATCATGCTTTTTGTCATCCCTTCCATAGTGATTACACTATAGCTTATATAGAAAGGATCAAAATGAGAATTGACAAAGCCACCTAGTATTACAGAGAATTAGTATCTCCAAATTGTAGTCTGTAAGTTTCTAAAACACAAGAAACCTTGATTTTAGATTTAATCAATTAGGAAATACATCGCACACTACACTGCAAAGCAATGTGGTGTGTAAAATACTTCAGGTCTGTTCAAACCAATAAAACTATCAAAGGAACTTATAATACATTTCCTGAT